TGGTTCTTGGTCAGTCACCTCCGCCTTGTCCCCCTCCCTCTGTAGAGTGTCCACCGCCGGTCCAGTCGCAGTCACAGTAACCACCTGCCTCGCTTCCTCGTCCTTCTCCCTACACTGGTCCTATAGGCGGTCTCACAGAGCGTCGTCAGCCTGAGTCTCGCCCTGTGTCGCCTGTGTCCCGTCCTGAGTCGCATGTTCGTACTACTTCCGCCAATCGCCGTACTCCACGTCAGCGTCCGCCACCAGTCCCTGGCACACACCGGAGGTCACTGCATCCCTCCACTGCTCCACAGCGTGTCCCTCGGCCGTCTCCTCCTGAGTCCTCTCTTCCTGCTCTTGCTGACCCTGCGTCTGACTCTCTTCGTGCTGCTAGTCCTACTGTCACGCGTCTCCTGGCCACTGCTGTCACTGACCCTTCTATTGAGTCTTCTGCTGCGTGTGCCCTAGTTGCTGAGCTTGTCGACTTCGATGCTCGCTGTTATCTAGACTATGCTGCCAGTCTTGTCGCTCAGTCTGAGTCTGTCTATCCTCCGTCTGTTGGGGGTGAGTGTGCTCTTAGCACGGATGTCTTTGAGGACAGACAGGAGGATCTTGAGTGCCTTGCAGCCGCTGCACCCCATCTCGTGTCCATGCTAGTTGCCCCTGAGGGAGACCCGGGACATCCCGACTCCTCGATCGTACGCTGAGGCGATCGAGGGTCCCTACTCCTCTCAGTGGCAGTCAGCCATGGACACAGAGATGGCTTCCTGGAAGTCCACGGGCACCTACGTCGACGAGGTTCCCCCACCTGGGGCGAACATCGTCAGTGGCATGTGGATTTTCAGGGTGAAGCGGCCGCCGAGTTCTCCGCCTGTCTTCAAGGCGCGCTACGTTGCTCGAGGCTTAAGTCAGCAAGAGGGAGTTGACTTATTTCAGACCTTCTCCCCGACCCCGAAGTTGACCACTCTTCGGGTTCTGCTGCACGTCCATGCTCAGCGTGACTACGAGCTTCACTCTCTTGACTTCAGCACAGCTTTCTTGCAGGGCAGTATGCACGAGGAGATCTGGCTGCGCCGCCCTCTTGGCTTCACTGGGTCTGTCCCTCCTGGTACCAAGTGGAGCCTCCGCCGGCCGGTCTACGGTCTCCGCCAGGCGCCACGTGAGTGGCACGACACACTGAGGACTACTCTTGCGGCACTTGGGTTCTCTCCTACTACTGCTGACCCGTCGCTGTTTCTACGCACCGACACTTCACTATCGCCGTTCTACATCCTCGTGTACGTCGACGAATTGGTCTTTGCCACAGCTGACACTGCGTCTCACGCCCACGTGAAGTCCGAGCTGCAGAAGAGACACACGTGCACAGACCTAGGTGAACTGCGCAGCTACCTTGGCTTGCAGATCACCCGGGACAGAGGACGCCGCACCATTACCCTGACTCAGTCACACATGGTGCAGCAGGTCCTTCAGTGCTTCGGCTTTACCTGGTCCTCAGCACAGACCACTCCTCTGGCTATAGGTCACTCGCTCTCAGCTCTGCCTTCGGATGAGTCCGTAGAGTCGAGTGGTCCTTACCCAGAGCTAGTTGGTTGCCTCATGTACCCGATGATTTGCACTCGTCCTGACCTAGCATACCCTCTTGGCCTTCTGGCACGCTACGTGGCTCTTGGTCGTCACTGAAAGGTGCACTGGGATGCTGCAAAGAGGGTATTGCGCTACTTTTGCAGTACATCAGGCATGGGGCTCGTGCTTGGAGGAGGGAGCTCAGTTGTTCTTACTGGGCACTCAGACGCTTCTTGGGTTGACGACCAGGCTACTCAGCGGTCGTCACAGGGTTACACCTTCAGCCTTGGCTTTGGCTTAGTTTCGAGGCGCTCTACTCGTTCGTCTTCGGTTCTCAGCTCCAGTTGTGAGGCTGAGATCTACGCCGCAGCCATGGCTGCACAGGAGTTACGCTGGCTCACCTACCAGCTAACCAACCTTGGAGAGCGGCCTAGTTCTCCTCCAGTGCTGTACGTCGACAACAAGGCTGCCATTGCCTTGTGTAAGGAGCACAGACTGGAGCACAGAACGAAGCACATCGCTCTCCGTTACTTCTTTGCTCGTGAGCTTCAGCAGCGTGGTCAGCTTTGTCTGCGCTACATGGTCTTCAGGCCAACACTGCTGATGTTTTCACCAAGGCACTTCAGCCTGGTGATCATCAGCGCTTCTGTACTTTGTTGGGGCTAGTGCCCACTGAGTCTCACTTGTTGTAGACTTTGCCTGTACTGTGATCTCTATTTATACTCCTGCTTGTTTGCTCTGCTAGGTTGAGATCACCCTTGCTGTCTGTACTACTTATATATACTTCTGCATGTGAACTGGCCTTGTGGCACTTTGCTTGTGCTCGGATTGTGTGGTGACGTTGTGATCCACCCTGAGCTTGCTTGCCTTTCTTGACTGGTCTTGTGACCCCTTGTTCTCCCCCACTTTGCCTATGGGGGTGTGTCAAACACTATATGTGTTATTATTGTGTAGGCTATAGTGGGTAAGCCTTTAGGGGGTACACAAAGCTAGGGTTTCCTACTTGTACTCCAACTTTCATAGTGCAATCACATCTTGTTCGTAACACCAGATTCCTGGCTGCCACTACTCGCGAGAGCTGAATTCCCTTCTTCTCCAGGCGACCCCATTGTTGGATGCGTTGAAAACGACTAAGTACCAGCTCTGATACCACGTGTTAACAGCTATAACTTTATGCAGAAGCGCTTAAACTGGTATTACAAACTCGTACTCGGCAACACTTAACATCACTTGCACCTCTTCGAGCGTGACAACTTGTCACCTCATAGCGTAGGGCGTAGAAAAATTGCAAGCAAGTAGTTATGCCTTTCTCAGCTTGTAAGCGAAGTAAGCTGGTCGAGCAGAGTTTCGGCAGCACCACGGTAGCGATTCTACTCTCGTCAATACGTAGTGGTAGAAATTGAACTTGAAAAGGCGAAATGAAAAATAGTTGTTGTATCCATAAACAATTACAGGCACATATTTATATAAAATACTACGCACACACAAAGGCAGGCATAAAAGTAGTTGTACAACAAGGTCTTGATTTTTGCCACGCTATAATAGAAATCGGTTGCATAAATTCTTAGGATGTTGCCTTTTTTCTTCTCTTGTTACACAAGGCAATTCCATTGCTGACTCCTCACATGAACATTTGCGGTTTCATGTGGCTCCCATATGGCTCCCATAAGCCTCACATAAAGTTCATGCGAGTTTGCAGTAGTAAAACGGTTTTAACTGTTTGATGACGTGAACAAACGAATTGTACCTGCGGAAAATAAATTCTTTTATGCGGCGATTCATTCGCGCGCAATTTCTTGTTCCATGAGTCAGTGCGGTATTCTGTTTTTCAACCGAGATCCCACGCGCCCCCATCTGCCACACGCAACGACCGAGATATTTCTCGGTCGTTCTGTACAACGCGCATGATTGCGATCATGTGCGTGTACAGGTCTGGACAGGGCAGAAACGTGCCCTGTCTTGTTGCGATCGTGCTTTACAGCACGCTCGCAACAGTGTGTGGAACACGCGCATGCCTTGTTGGGCCTCACGCACGTGCAAGGACCCCACATGCGGTCCTGATTTCGTACCCTTTGACTCGCGCCAGAGGAGTCAAACGGCACTTCCTCGATAGTCAAACAATCGAACCCCCTGGTACACCGCTCGCTCGCATGGAACCCCAATGAGCCTCGCATGAAACATTCGAATTTCGTGAGACTTTCATGGGTCGCTCGCATGAACCTCGGATGAAACAGTCTCATGCGAGCTTCATTTGAGCTTCATGGGGTCTTCAGTTGAGCACTTCATGGAAGGCTCATTTGAGCGCTTCATGAGAGCTTCATTTGAGCGCAACATGAGAGCTTCATCTGAGCGCATCATGAGAGCTTCATTTGAGCGCGTCATGAGAGCCTCATGAGAATAGTGAAAACGAAACTGAAAATTCACAAGTACAAAATGCAATTACGAATGAAAATGAAGCATACAAAATGCAAGAACAAATGTCAAACTTATATGCTATAATCTGTGTAGGCTGTAGTAGGGTACAACACTTCTAGGTTTTCCTAATTGTACCCACTTGCTTGCTAGTTCATTTATTCCTCATTCTTCACATGGTATCACAGCAAGTTCCCTCGTGGGAACGCTTCTCAGGGCCCACCACCCAACTCGATTTTTCCTACCCGAGGCGCGCCCCGTCGGCCGCCCTCATGTCGCGCTCCCTTAGCGGCCCCTCTCACGGCCCCTCGCGCCACCCTTAGCGGCCCCGTCGCCGTCCTTTGCGGCCCCGTCGCCACCTCTCTAGGCCCCTCACGGCCCCGTCGCCGCCGCTCTAGGCCCCCTCACGGCCCCTTCGCGGCCCCGACGCCGCTCCTAGCGGCCCCGTCGCCGCCCCTCAAGGCCCCTTGCGGCCCCTCTGCGGCCCCGTCGCCGCCCCTAACGGCCCCGTCGCCGCCCCTTGAGGCCCCGTCGCCGCCCTTCGCAGCCACCTCGCCGCCCTTCGCGGCCCCGTCGCCGCTCTTCGCAACCCCGTCCCTGCCTCTAGCGGCCCCGTCGACGCCTTCGCGGCCTCGTCGCCGCCTCTACCGACACCGTCGCCGCCCTTCGCGGCCCCATCGCCGCCTCTACCGGCCCCGTCATCGCCTCTATTGGCCCCGTCCCCGCCTCTACTGGCCCCTTCACCGCTGAGCCGCCCAGCAGCTGAGCAGCCGAGCCGCCAAGCCGCTCAGCAGCCAAACCGCCCAACAGCCGAGCCGCCGAGCCGCCCAGCAGCCGAGCCGCCGAGCAGCCGGGCCGCCCAGCAATCGAGCAGCCGAGCCGCCCAGCAACCGAGCCGCCGAGCCGCCCAGCACCCGAGCCGCCGAGCCGCCCAGCTGCCGAGCCGCCGAGCCGCCCTGCAGTCGAGCCGCTACTGTTCCTACCGGCGCGCCCCAGCCCTACTTACTCGGACTGGTGAGATAACTCCTTGATAGACCACTGCAGTCATGGCTACCCCCAGTGTCCTTACCTTTGATGTTGAGGGTCGTGCTGTTGACTTTGAGGTCTGGGTCGATGACCTCCCGCTGTTCCTAAAGTGCGATAGGGCAGACGGACTCTCTCAGTTCGATCTCACCTCTGGTGTCTCTCCTGCCCCGCCTACTGATCCTGACAGCACTGTTCGCTCACAGTGGGCCACACGCGATGCTGCTGCCCGTCTTGCTGTGCGTCGCCACTTACCGACCACTGAGCGTGCGCAAAGTCAGTACAAGAGTGCTAAGACCTTGTACGACGCTGTAGTTGCACGCTACTCTTCCCCTCCCACTGCTGCTCTTAACGCCTCATGCTGCCGTACCTGTTCCCTGACCTTGTTGCCTTTCCCACAGTCGCTGACCTCATTACGCACCTTCGCACTAGTGACACTCGCTACCGCGCTGCGGTTCCTACTGACTTCTGTGCCAAGAACCCCCCCCCCATGTACATCACCCTCTACTACATAGTCACCCGGCTCCCTGACTCCCTTCGCTTAGTCAAGGACCACTTCCTCTCAGTTTGCCTCACCACAGTCTGTGAGAATGTAATTGTATACATTACTATAACTGCCTGTAGTGTAGACCTAGTGTAGTTTTATTGCTTTCATGTTAGGTGGTGCACCCTTTTCCTTCACTATATCTTGTACAACTTTCTATAGTGAAACCCTCATTCTCCTTCTCAACTCTCTCGACTTTCTCCTCACCCTCGAACTTAACTTACTCGATCTCACTAGCCATGGCTCCCAAGCCTCGCTAGAATCTTGACAGAGTCACCGTTGACCTCCTCGAGGAGCGCCTCCTAGCAGCAGAGAAGAGCATAGTCGCTGTAGGAGCCTCTCGTGGTGACCCTCGCACCCCCGTCTTTGAGGGGTGTTCCCCCTCCCCCCTCTTGCCCTCTGTTGCCTCTGCTGCTGCGGCGGACCTCGTTGGCTTCGAGTCGGTCGGCGCTGCGTCTGCCCCTAGCGGGAGACGCCGCACTGGCAAGGGCAAGGGGGGCAAGGGCGCTGGAGGGGCTGGCGGGGGCGGTGGCGGTGGTGGTGGAGGCAGTGGAGGGGGTGGGGGTGGTGGTGGGAGTGGTGGCAGGGGTGGAGGTGTTGGTGGCAGCAGTGGAGGCGGAGGAGGCGGCGGCGGTGGCGGGGGGAGCGGAGGCGGCGGAGGTGGCGGAGGTGGCGGAGGCGGCGGCGACGGCAGCGGTGGGGCTGGTCGCGGCTCTGCGCAGAGGAGTGGTTCTGGTGGTGGTCCACGCCAACAGCAGCAGCGCACTCGTGAGACCTTTTCCCCCCGCAGCTTCGTGAGTGGTACGATGGGCGTCAGCGAGGTGGGGGTACTGGTCCCTGCACCTACGTCCTCCGTACCGGCGACCGCGCTGGTGAGCAGTGCGGGGGCTCGCACTCTACACAGCGCTGCTTCAGCCGCCTGACGGACGCTTGGCGTCACCAGTTCCCTGACTCCACTTAAATCGCTCGCTGGGGAGAGCTGTCAAGGGCAGGGGTTGCCATCTTTGATCTTGACTATGATGCTATTCTTGCTGCCATGTATGTTGTGTCTGCTAGTGATGAGGGTGACTATTACCTGTGTGTTCCGCCTGACCCGGGCATTGAGGCTGCTGCTCTAGGTGCTGGTGCGTCTGCTGCCCCAGGTGCTGGTGAGTCTCCACTATCAGGTACCACGTTGGCTCAGGCCTTACACACCTTCACCCTTGACTCAGGTGCTTCCCGCTCCTTCTTTCGAGACCGCACCACGCTTACGCCGCTTAGTCAGCCGGTTGCGGTCTCCCTCGCGGACCCCTCTAGGGGTCCTGTCCTTGCTAGCTTCTCCACTGTCTTACCGTGTCCGGCAGCCCCCTCTGGCACCCTGTCAGGTCTCTACCTCCCCTCGTTCTCTACGAACTTGGTGAGTGGTGCTGATCTACAGGATAGGGGGGTTGAACAGTTCACTCCTGCGAGTCAGCGGGTGACCCACTGTACGTGTGCTCGGACGGGCCGACACTTGGCCACGTTTACCCGTTGGCCGGGGTCGAGCCTGTACACACTGACTACTGAGTCTCCTCCGGCTGCTCAGTCTGGTCAGGTAGCTGTGTCGAGTCAGGTGCTTGCTGCAGCGTCCAGGTCTGGTCCTGAGTCTGCTCCCTACTCCTGTCGTCTCCTGTCCCACCAGACTCTCCTTTGGCACCACCGCCTTGTTCACCCCTCCCTGCCTCGTCTTTGGGGCATGGCCTCCCTTGTCCTTGTCTCTAGTCTCCCCCTGTCCCTCCCTCCCCTCCCTCCGGGGCCTGTCCCTTCCTGCGTTCCCTACTTCGAGAGGCGGCAGGGCGCCGCCCCTCACTCCTCCGAGCTTCCTCCGACAGAGGCTCCGCTTCAGACTCTTCACATGGACGTGTTGGGCCCCGCCCGCGTCCGTGGCCAGGGTCATGAGCGTTACTTCCTGTTGGTGGTTGATGACTACTCGCGTTACACCACGGTCTTCCCCTTGCGCAGCAGGTTGTCTCCAACTCAAAGAGAGTTTCGGCTCAGACTTTCCTGTTCTTCGTCTGCACTCGAACAAAGGCGGGGAGTTTTCCTCTGCCCGTCTCGGAGCCTTCTGTCGTATACAGGGCATCCGCCAGACCTTCACGCTTCCGGCCTCTCCACAGGGAAATGGGATTGCTGAGCGCCGCATTGGCATGGTCATGGACGTCGCTCTTCCGTCCATGATCCATGCGGCTGCTCCCTATTTTCTGTGGCCGTTTGCGGTTCAGTATGCAGCGCATCAGCTCAACCTTCAGCCCGGGGTCTCCTTGCCAGAGACCTCCCCCACCTTGCGGTGGAAGGGGAAGGTTGGAGATGCGTCTGCGTTTTGGGTGTGGGGATCTCGGGCGTTTGTCCGCGACATGTCTGCGGACAAGCTGTCCCCCCATGCTGTTCCTTGCGTCTTCCTTGGATTCCCCCCTGACGCGCCTGGTTGGCAGTTTTACAACCCCACCTCGCGTTGTGTTATGTCCTCCTAGGACGTCACCTTTGACGAGTTGGTGCGTTACTACCGTCTCTTCCCCTACCGCATTGCGCCCCCCCCCCCCCCGCCGCCGCTCTTCCTTGCGCCAGGCCCTCCCCCGGTAGACCCCCTCCCCCCTCAAGGTCCTGCCCCGTCAGGTGTGTCCCAGGTAGACGCAGTCGAGCCTGTTGAGGTAGCTGTTGACTCTGGTACTGCGAGGGAAGCTGAGCCTGTGGGTGCCGGGCATAGGGGTGCTGAGCCTGGAGGTGCGGAGCCTAGGGGTGCTGGGTCGGCTCGTGTGGCCTCTGGCGGTGCTTCGTCGAGGCGGGAGCTAAACTCTCCGTAGGAGCTGTGCGAGTGGTTTGCCCGGCGCTGGTGCCGTGCTGCTGGAGCTGGAGGTACTACTATTGCTACTGGTCCTCGAGGTGCTCGTATTGGCGGTACTGGTACTGCTAGGGCTGCTGGAGCTGGTGCTGCTGGAGGTACTGCTGGCGCTACTGGCGGTACTGGAGCAGACGGTTCTGCTGGAGCTGGAGCTGCTGGAGTTACTGGAGCTGGAGTTGCTGCGGGTGTTGACGCTGGTGGTGCTATTGGCGCTGGTGCTTCCGAGGGTGATGGAGTTGGTGCTGTTGGAGCTGGAGGTACTGCTGGCGTTGGTGCTGCCGCTTGGGGTACTGGTGCTGTCCTTGCTGGTTCTGGAGGTGCTATGCGGCCGCGGCCGTATTTCGTTCCGCTCCTTGAGCAGGTTCTTGGTCTCCCGCCTTCTATTGGTCCTGCACCTCCCTTAGAGTGTCCACAGCCTGTCCAGTCATAGTCACACTTACAGCCCGCCTCCCCCCTACCTGCTCCTTCTCCCTACACTGTTCCTACTGGAGGTCTTGCTGAGCGTCGTGAGCGTGCGTCTCATCCTGCGTCGCCTGTTCGTGCTGCTCGCACTAGTAGTCGTCCTCCGCGTCCGCGTCCTCCTGCGGTCCCAGGCACACACCAGATGGCACTGCATCCTTCCACTGCTCCTCTGCGTGTCCCGTTAATGTCTCCTCCAGAGTCCTCTCTTCCTGTTCCTGCTGACCCAGAGTCTGACTCTCGACCTGCTTCCAGTCCTACTGTCACTCGTCTCCTGGCTACTGTTGTCACTGACCCTTCCTTTGAGTCCACTGCTGCGTCTGCCTTAGTTGCTGAGCTTGTCGACTTTGTTGCTCGCTGTCGTCTAGACTACGCTGCTAGTCTCATTGCAGAGTCTAAGTCCGTCTGTCCTCTGTCCGTCGGGGGTGAGTGTGCTCTTAGCACGGACGTCCTTGAGGACAGACAGGAGGAGTTCCAGTGTTTTGCTGCTGCTTTGCCTCATCTCGTGTCCACGCTGATTGCCCCTGAGGGAGACCCGGATGCACCAGACATCCTGACTCCTCGATCGTACGCTGAGGCGATCGAGGGTCCCTACTTCTCACAGTGGCAGTTAGCCATGGATGCAGAAATGGCTTCCTGGAAGTCCACAGGCACCTACGTCGACAAGGTTCCCCCACCTGAGGCGAACATCGTCAGTGGCATGTGGATTTTAATGGTGAAGCGGCCGCCGGGTTCTCCGCCTGTCTTCAAGGCGCGTTACGTGGCTCGAGGCTTCAGTCAGCGGCATGGAATTGACTACTTTCATACCTTCTCTCCCACCCCGAAGATGACCACTCTTCGGGTGCTGCTGCACATAGCCGCTCAGCGCGACTACGAGCTTCACTCTCTTGACTTCACCACAGCTTTCCTGTAGGGCAGCCTGCACGAGGAGATCTGGCTGCGCCGCCCACCTGGCTTCACTGGGTCGTTCCCTCCTGGTACCCAGTGGAGCCTCCGGCGGCCAGTCTACGGTCTCCGCCAGGCGCCTCGTGAGTGGCACGACACACTGAGGACTACACTTTCGGCTCTTGGGTTTGCTCCTTCTACTGCCGACCCGTCGCCGTTTCTGCGCACCGACACCTCTTTGCCGCCATTCTACATCCTCGTGTACGTCGACGACTTGGTCTTTGCCACTGCTGACACTGCTGGACTCGCCCACGTGAAGTCCGAGCTGCAGAAGAGACACACGTGCACAGACCTGGGTGAACTGCGCAGCTACCTTGGCTTGCAGATCACCCGGGACAGAGCACAGCGCACCATTACCCTGACTCAGTCACACATGGTGTAGCAGGTCCTTCAGCGCTTTGACTTCACGTACTCCTCGCCGCAGGCCACTCCTCTGTCTACTCGCCACTCGCTCTCAGCTCTGCCTTCGGATGAGTCCGAAGAGCTGATTGGCCCGTACCCAGAGCTTGTTGGCTGCCTCATATACCTGATGACCTACACACGACCTGACCTTGCATACCCTCTTAGCATCTTGGCACGCTATGTTGCTCCTAGGAGACACCGACCTGAGCACATGGCTGCAGCGAAGAGGGTGTTGCGCTACTTGTGCAGTACGTCAGGCATGGGGCTAGTGCTTGGAGGGCAGAGTCCACTGGTCCTCACATGTCACGCAGACGCTTCTTGGGCTGACGACCAGGCTACGCAGCGGTCGTCACAGGGTTACACCTTCAGCCTTGGTTCTGGCTCTGTTTCGTGGCGGTCTACCCACTCCTCTCTGTTCTCGGCTCCACCTGTGAGGCCGAGATCTACGCGGGGGCCATGGCTGCACAGGAGCTACGCTGGCTCACCTACCTGGTGATTGACATAGGAGCGCCGCCTCGTTCTCCTCCAGTTCTGTACGTAGACAACAAGGCCATGCTGGCCTTGTGTCGGGAGCACAGACTGGAGCACAGAATGAAGCACATTGCTCTTCGCTAATTCCTTGCTCGTGAGCTGCAGCAGCGTGGTGAGCTGCGCCTTGCTTGTGTGGCCTCTGAGGCCAACACTGCTGATATCTTTACCAAGGCACTTCCGCCTTGTGATCATCAGCGCTTCTGTACGATGCTAGGTCTTGTGCCTACTTGGCCTCACTTGCTCACTTCTTGACCTTGCTTATTGTGTGATCTTACTATACGCGCCCTTGCTTGTTTACCTTTATTTATGATCCTGCATGTGAACTGGCCTTGTGGCCTTGCACTTGTGCTCGGATTGCGTGGTGACGTTGTGATCCACCCTGAGCTTGCTTTGCCTGAGTGGTCTTGTGACCTCTTGTTCTCCCCCACTTTGCCTATGGGGGTGTGTCAAACTTATATGCTATAGTCTGTGTAGGCTGTAGTGGGGTAGACAATATGGGGTACAACACTTCTAGGTTTTCCTACTTGTACCCACCTACTTGCTGGTTCATTCATTCCTCATTTTTCACAATAAATGGGCACAAAACATTACAAAATGAAAATGA